ACGTGTGCATACCATCGTGTCACGCGTTGCGAACAGCTGATCGCAACTGAGCGCCCGCGTCCGACGGTGCGTGCGCCGGCCCTACCTACCTTCCGTACGCGACTCGTAATTCGCTAACTATTTCTCTTTATATTTCAAAAACTAAGTCTCGTATAAAATTTTGGCAAAGGAAAAATCGTCTTAGAATCATGTCAGGAATACGTCAATTCAAGGACACTATACTAATTTTGAGACACCCTGTATACTACCTAGTACTACCAACGTTTGATCACGTCACATGCTCCTACCCTAGCTCCCCTAGCTACTCTAACGCATTCGTTGGAGTGAATAGAAGCTATAATAGGAATTGAAACACATTTCAGAAATATATACTCAAAATATCTATACTTTTTTTTTAGAATTTTTCATAAATATAAATTCTGAAGTATTGTAAGATTCGTATAAAAAAATTTGAGATATCTAAACATAAAAATGTGATACGGAAATTCTAAAAATTCAGAATTTATTTATATATCAATCTCGTTGTCAAACAAATTTAAACATCAATATTTATATGTATTCCGTCAAAGAATCAGAATTCGTTTTCGTCAAAGAATCAGAATCGGAATTCTCTTTACGAAACTAATCAATATATTCAGTTAAGTTGAAAAATTTTTAGGGATTTCAAGTAACGCGAACAGACCTATTGGCTACGGTTACACCGTGCATTTAGGCCGCGGCCTATACAATAGATGTCTTTGTTTATCCTGTATATCAGTGCTCGGCACTAGATGCACATTTCGGGCTGATTCCGGAGAGCGACCCCCACTACCACTCGAGTCTCAGCGGCCGAGCCGTCGACCGCTCACGTGACGCTCTGGCTCAGGAGCGTCCCTATATCTTAAACGTGCTAGGGTCGTATCTTCCGTCATTGAAGAATCTTTCTTGCTAAATAATTTTTATTTTTTCAAAAAATCAAGTACTAAATTTTCTATTATTAATGTATTAATATGCTCTATATATAATAATATAATTGTAGCAATAATATATACTCGTAATGTGTATAATATAATTAAGAGTTCTTTACAATAGTTTTCCAGGCCTATTCAATAGGCCTACTAGGGAAACCACTTTAAAAAAAAC